TGCTGATTTACCTGCAATGAAATTCCAGATGTAGAGGCCAAAAGGTCCTTTGATAGATTGGTATGGAACTTTTCTGGCATTATATATACTGAAAGCTAAACTGACAACTGCAAAGCCAATAGCAATGAAAAGGAAGAAGATAATGATCATGTGAAGACCACTGTTGATTTTTTTGATGAGCTTTGGGAAAACTGCAGAATTTGTGAGAAAGAGAGAAACAGAGATCAGGTCTCTCAAAATTAGATTTATAGCTGATGAGCTATATAGATACTTAAAATGTATAGATATCTAAATTAGACCATGTATGCCATATACATACCATGTTTGGGGTTGGTAAGACTTGTAATGTTTTTGAAAGAAATCTCTTATGCTCCCCAAGGCTGCATTTATTTGATCATAATATTGTGGAATATTATTACAATTTAAAAGCTGTTTTCTATTTGAATATATTTGAAAATATAATTGATTCCTGATCAAAGCTGTATTTTCATCATCATTACTCCAGTCTTCAGTGTCACATGATCCTTCAGAAATTATTCTAATATGCTGATTGCTGCTCAAGGAACATTTATTATTATCAATGTTGAAAACAGTTGCGTTGCTTAATATTTTTGTGCAAACCGTGATGCATGTTTTTTCAAGATTCTTTGATGAATATAAAGGTAAAAATAACAGCTTCTATTTAAAATCTTTCTTAACATTGTACTGTCTTTTTTTAAAAACTAATTTAATGCATTCTTGTATTATAAAGTTAATACCTAAATTAATATCGTGTAATAAAAGTATTTCTTTCTTTCAAAAATAAAAATATTACTGACCCCAAACATTTCAACACTAGTGTGTATATAGAATACAGTATGAATGTCACTGAGTCAATAAACATAAATAAATAAATAAATAAATACAAGTGCTTCATAAAGAAAAGTTAAATAAATGTATAAAACCATAACATCAAAACACAACAACCGAGAAAAAAAACAAGGACCTCTTCTAACAGCTATAAACAAGAATGTTTCAGTATAATATACTTACGGAGCTTGAATGTTTAATCAGAAATGAATCTGCACGTTATTGCTCTTACTGTATATTTTGGAGCGGCGGATCCCGAGCCCGCATCTCCGTGTTTTCCCGCCCTGAAAGAGGCCGTAGTAAATGTGTCCCGTGAACTGCTCGAGCTCTGGACTAGACGCGTTCACCAGATCCGCTGCTGTCTGACACAGTGTGGTTCCGCTGATCCAGCGCTCGGTGGACAGTGCCACAACCAGAAGCACGACAGAACCGATGCTGAGTATAGAAGCGAAGGAGAACACGATCTGTTTCCAGAGAGTTGGCATTTCACTACTCACCCCATTCCTCCTATAAAAAGCAAGACGCGATGCAAAACGACTCCGAGAGGCGTCCGCTTCTCTCCGCTACTGCGCGAGCCAACTCTGCTGTAACGAGCGATGAAGTTCAAAACTTCATCACAAATAGCCTACCGGTTTGCAGTTTGTCTGTGGTGAGTGCACAAATATAAGCCAAAACACCATAGTACTAAACTGAGGGAACGCGAGACAGTGACCGATAGGGAAAGAGCCGGAAACTAGATATAAAGCGGTCAGCTGGATCTCCTTCACCGCCAAACGAAACCTTATACAGTTTACTTGCCTTCGCTTCGTTTGGTTGCCAGAGGTGTCCGCGGGCGCACACACACACACACACACACACACACACACTCTCTCTCTCTCTCTCTCTCTCTCTCTCTCTCTCTCTCTCTCTCTCTCTCTCTCTCTCTCTCTCTCTCTCTCTCTCTCTCTCTCTCTCTCTCTCTCTCTCTCTCTCTCTCTCTCTCTCTCTCTCTCTCTCTCTCTCTCTCTCTCTCTCTCTCTCTCTCTCTCTCTCTCTCTCTCTCTCTCTCTCTCTCTCTCTCTCTCTCTCTCTCTCTCTCTCTCTCTCTCTCTCTCTCTCTCTCTCTCTCTCTCTCTCTCTCTCTCTCTCTCTCTCTCTCTCTCTCTCTCTCTCTCTCTCTCTCTCTCTCTCTCTCTCTCTCTCTCTCTCTCTCTCTCTCTCTCTCTCTCTCTCTCTCTCTCTCTCTCTCTCTCTCTCTCTCTCTCTCTCTCTCTCTCTCTCTCTCTCTCTCTCTCTCTCTCTCTCTCTCTCTCTCTCTCTCTCTCTCTCTCTCTCTCTCTCTCTCTCTCTCTCTCTCTCTCTCTCTCTCTCTCTCTCTCTCTCTCTCTCTCTCTCTCTCTCTCTCTCTCTCTCTCTCTCTCTCTCTCTCTCTCTCTCTCTCTCTCTCTCTCTCTCTCTCTCTCTCTCTCTCTCTCTCTCTCTCTCTCTCTCTCTCTCTCTCTCTCTCTCTCTCTCTCTCTCTCTCTCTCTCTCTCTCTCTCTCTCTCTCTCTCTCTCTCTCTCTCTCTCTCTCTCTCTCTCTCTCTCTCTCTCTCTCTCTCTCTCTCTCTCTCTCTCTCTCTCTCTCTCTCTCTCTCTCTCTCTCTCTCTCTCTCTCTCTCTCTCTCTCTCTCTCTCTCTCTCTCTCTCTCTCTCTCTCTCTCTCTCTCTCTCTCTCTCTCTCTCTCTCTCTCTCTCTCTCTCTCTCTCTCTCTCTCTCTCTCTCTCTCTCTCTCTCTCTCTCTCTCTCTCTCTCTCTCTCTCTCTCTCTCTCTCTCTCTCTCTCTCTCTCTCTCTCTCTCTCTCTCTCTCTCTCTCTCTCTCTCTCCACACACACACACACTCACACAGCACGTTTCAATGTCTTATGGGGATATTCCATAGACATAATGATTTTTATACTGTACAAACCGTATTTTCTATCCCCTTACCCTAGCCCTACACCTAAACCTACCCCTCACACAAAAAAATAGCATTTTTAGATTTTCAAAAAAACTTCATTGTGTATGATTTATAAGCTTGTTTCCTCATGGGAATCCCCCGACTCCATATCCCCTCCCCCACCCCCCCAAAAAAGTCCCCACATGGAGAGAGAGAGCGAATTGTCAAGTGTTGTATTTACACACGTAAATCAACATGCTGTGATCAGGGTTTTTATTGGATGTTCTTTGCTAAAACAATTCATCAAATATTGCCGGCTCCTTTACATAAAATCTTATAGGTCATAAAAACTGGTGGTTTAAAACATTAAATGTCACTTCAGCCGAGACTCTACTGGGTCAATGAACATTAAAATAAATAAAGAAAGGGGGTAGGGTTTGATAGGAACGATTTAAGTCACTGCAATTGGACAGAAGTAAATGGGCTAATGACTTGGAAATATCAGCCTGCATCCATATCTGTTTTATTTGGTGCAGAACTAGGGGTTCCATAAAAGAACCACGCCTTTATTTTGCAAGTTGGATCAGCCTGAAACAGACTTCAGAACCATGGACAGCAGCATGCTTTCTTTCAGAACCATGGACAGCTCAACCCATTCAAGAATTCTATAGTTGCACAGTGCTCAGCCACTAGAGGGAGTTATCTGACAGGAAAGCACAGCAAAACGGCTGACAGGACAGGAAAGTTATAGCCTAACAACATCTAATCAGACCGCAGTTTACTGTTGTTCTACTGAAGCTCATTTGGCACCTGTACCTTGTCCGCGCTCGTTTGACTTGCGCCTGGCGCTGAGGCGAAGTTGAAGTGCGCGTCTGAAAAGACCCGTTTGTTGTGGTCGTGAAGAGAAACGGCGGTTCCGCGTCTTTAAAAAACGTGTTTCTTGTCCAGAAAAAAGAGACACAAATTGCAGTTGTGAGTGGGGTGGCTAAAGGGCTGGCAAAGCTTAGGTCAGTGGTGGCCAATGCCACCCCTGGCCACCCCCGAGCTCCGCGCCTGCATCCGGTGTAAAACCTGTGCCAAATGAAATGATTGTGCGGGTAATTCCACTGTGGCGACCCCTAACAGGAGCAGCTGAAGGAAGGAGAGAGAGTTCTCGCCCTCAAATTTGATTGGCCGGGTGGTATTTAAAGATCACTGATATTAGACTAAAAAATGTAAAAGATTGGATGACCAATAATTTTTTCTTATTAAATTCGTATAAGACAGAGATATTACTTATTGGACCAAAAGACAGTACACAGAATCTCTTGGATTACAATTTGCAACTAGACGCATGTACTGTTACTTCCTCTACAGTCAAAAATCTGGGTGTTATATTAGATAGCAACTTGTCTTTTGAAAATCATATTTCCCATGTTACAAAAACAGCATTCTTCCATCTTAGAAACATTGCCAAGTTACGAAACATGATACCTGTTTCTGATGCAGAAAAGCTAGTTCATGCATTCGTGACCTCTAGACTGGACTATTGTAATGCACTGCTAGGTGGTTGTCCTGCATCTACAATAAACAAGCTACAGGTAGTCCAAAATGCAGCGGCTAGAGTCCTTACCAGGTCAAGAAAATATGATCATATTACGCCAATTTTACAGTCTCTGCACTGGTTACCTATTAAGTTCCGTATCAGTTACAAAATATTATTACTTGCCTATAAGGCCCTTAATGGGTTAGCTCCTGCGTACCTAACTAGTCTTCTACCAAGCTACAATCCATCACGCTCCCTAAGGTCGCAAAATTCTGGACTTTTGGTAGTACCTAGGATAGCAAAGTCCACTAAAGGAGGTAGAGCTTTTTCGCATTTGGCTCCCAAACTCTGGAATAGCCTTCCTGATACCGTTCGGGGTTCAGACACACTCTCTGTTTGAATCTAGATTAAAGACACATCTCTTTGGCCAAGCATTCAAATAATGCATCTCATAATCTTGTACTGCAGTTATATCTGATCAAATGCACATTATTATTCTTTAGCTTGGGTTAAACAAATCAATTTTGCTTGGTTGGAACAGCAGCTACGCTAATTATGTCTCTATTTGTTTTTATGTTTTTGCCGATTTACACAAGCTTCAGTCTGGATCCAGAACACCTGAGAAGAGATGATGCAACCCCTCAGAGGACCTCAGATGATGCCAACCCTGAAACAACATACAGAACTACCACATTTTGCTATAAGTTTGATTGCATCATATAATAATTGCTGTTAATAGTGTTCATCGTCTGTTTGATTACGTCTTTAATTGATTTTTCTGTACATTTCTGCCATATGTACATTAACTGACAATCACCACTGATAAGCTACCACTAAATATTGTAGAAACGTAATTTGCTGTAAAGTTGCTTTGCAACGATTTGTATCGTGAAAAGCGTTATACAAAAATAAACTTGAAAATAAGCTTGAAACTGTGATGTTAGACTGTTTGCAATACTCCGCTTGTCTGCATTAACATCACATCACTATAACGTCCAAATAATCATAAATATGAGAAATAAAGTCACAAATTAGCAATTTCGAGAAATTAACACAATAATGCATCATTAAAAATACAATATAGGGTAAAATGGGGGAAGATGACAAAGCATAATCACAGTAAAAGAGTTACATTTATTATATGACTTATATACAGGCATATGAATATTTACATATTTAATTGCCCATATTTGAAATGTAGGTATGTCACAATAGCATCACTATAAATTCAAATGGAATGATTTCACTCAATTAGCCTAAAAGTTTTAATGAAAATCTATCTTACCAAAATGGTCTAATTTTATATTTTCACTTCAAAATAAAAACGATAATCTGAAAACATTAATGTGTCCACAAAACCTTCATTAACAAATAGATATTCGGCATAATACAAAGTCAAAATTTTCGACAGACACAAAAGTAGACCAATTAACCTAATTTAACTTCAGTTTAATTAAAGTCAGTTAACTGTTTGACAGACAAAATCTTACAAATGTTGTTCAGATGAAATGACAAAAAACGTTTGGTGGTGGGGCCATCTTGTATTATAGTAGTGTAGCATGCATACTCATCTTCCCACTAAATATTATGTGACTATTGCTTTCACTCTTTCTAATCTTCATGCAGTTTTGTCTGCTCATCCCCCTTTTATCTCTTATATGATTTCAAATACTCACATAAACGAACACAAAATAAAACAGGGTGTCAGGATAATCAGTCTCTCAAATGTTAAGGATTTTATGGTATTACTAGCATTTCTATTCAATATGACTGATGCTTTGAGAAAGAAAGGTTACAAGGATCTCTTCATCTCAAAACATGTCTTCAAACTGCTTGTGAAGAACACCAATTGACTGCATAAACAAAATGTTAGCTTTAGTGGCAGGCACATATACAATGCATGTTCCTTGTGGTCAAAGAGTCTTGTCATATTGATTGAAGAATGGAGGAAGAATATTGACCAGCTAAACTGCAGCGATGCTCATTGAGGCAACTGTGAATATCAAATGACTACTGTTGTGGTTTTGGACAGGCTTATAGACTTAATGCATTCTGGAATGTTTTAAATGTTTATAATGCAGTTATGACTGGACATGAGTTATGACAGCTGCCTTTATTAATGTAAGCTAAAAACTTTTTCAATGTAATCTTAATCACTCTTTCTGCTAATATATAACTCTCCACCTAGCCCACATTTTTATTTTAAAAGAGAGTATTTATAATTTTCTGCTCAGTCTAACTCCATTAACTTCAATCTAACACGCTGCTTTCTGTTTTACTAAATCCACTCTTTCTCTTCAAGTTCTCAGCCTCACAGTTTCTTCTTTCTCCTTCTGTTTTTGCTTTCTTCCCAAAACCAATAAGCTTAATGAGATTTAAAGTGCTCTGTAACCCAGTTAATCAGATTCATCGTTTTGACTATACACTTAGTTTAGCATCTTAACATTTCTTAATCTCTTTGTTTTTCTGAAAAACAGTCAGACGTAGTGCATAATTTTCAGACTGACTCTGTAGCTGTCCGCATTAGAATTCTCACAAACAAGTTAAACATGCATTTCCTGTCATGTCTGACTATAGCATGAAATTGCCCCCTAAAGATACTATCAGAATTTGCTGTCTACGGTTATTTATTTATTACATAAGCAAACTTATGCATTACAAAACATTAAGATGTTCAGCTGATTAACTGAAAATGGTGTTCTGGAAGAGATGATATGAATATGTGTACACTATGTGTACATTAGGGATGGGCAACGCTGGTCCTGGAGGGTCATCACACTGTCACACACTACGCTATAGACTAATGGAGTGATCTTTTGCCTCACTCTAGTCTGTGTGGACAAAACAAAGCAAAAGTCCACTGTACGCTGAGAGCAAAATGAGGAGCTAAGCATGGTGGGGTGTATCAGACCAAAAATAAGTAATTAAAGACATCATAAAATTATTTTTTTAAATGGCTGAAAAATCATTAATACAACCACAAGTAATATGATTTAATAGGTTATCAATTTTCGGTCCATTTGCCGTGGGGCCCCCTCAAGCACCAATTGCACCCCCCTAAGGACGGCCCTGCCTGCCATAGGCTCAAGAGTGGAAGAAGAGAAAGAAGAAGAATGCTAATGGATACAATAGGTGCATATGCACCTTTGGTGCTTGGCACAAAACAAAACAAAATCCAGCAGAACAGCTCCAAAATGAAACTTTTTTACATGCTTATTTCAGTCATATGGGTTTAGAATGACATGAGGGGGAATAAATGATATCACAGCATTTGCATTTTTGACTGACCTATCCCTTCATGTCAGGCTCATGTCAGTTTAGGGTATGCACTAATACAATATTAAAATGGACAAAGATAAAATGGTCCACAAAAGAAAAGTACTCTCAATGTGCAGGCATACAAGAACACTTAAAAACCACCACAAAACCCACGCCACCACACACCGATTGTACTATTATGGATTGAAGACCCTAATGGTCACTTGGTTGAGTAGATTAGGTTGTCTGCATGGTCAGCAAAAATCCAGTGGACAAACTTCATTAGGTTGGTATCTTAGTCCATTAGACTACTCTCGGTTTCTGTCTGCGTTGTTCTAAAAGGCTTTTTTAATACTGATAAATCTTATTTTAGAATGTTGCGCAGTTATCAACCAACCAACCAACCAATCTATATCTATCTATCTATCTATCTATCTATCTATCTATCTATCTATCTATCTATCTATCTATCTATCTATCTATCTATCTATCTATCTATCTATCTATCTATCTATCTATCTATCTATCTATCTGTCCTGTGAAAACAAGAATAGAATATTAAAGGACACTGTTTCTCTTTAAAATGGCAAAGTGATCATATGTCCATATAAAAGAAGGAATGAGTCACTTCTGAAAAGAAAGACCAGTGAGTCAGCATCTCTATCTCTCTCACAAACAGCCTGCAGATGATGAGTAAGGACCTATCAGTATCAAAAACCTGCTCTGATTTATGAATAATTGATCAAACACAAGGTAGCTACACTGACACAACATACATGCCCCCTGCATAACAAGCACATACCTACAGGTGTCGCATGGACATTTCTCACAATAAAATGAAAAAGCAAAACTACTTGAAGGTTTGAAAGGCCAAGATATCCACCCGGTTGCCACAATTGTGTTAGAAGAGAGACAACATCAGAAACACTGTATTGTTTGTCTGTTTATGGTGGGTCATGCACACATGCACACACAGATACTCCTAAGATGACTCTGATGCAGCAGACAGCACGTCATCATTGAAGAGCTGCAACATTTTAAACTCTATTGATTAACGTGTGCATGAGAGGGCAGGCAGAGCAATAAGTTTTAAATTCATGGCAGTAGTCCTTGGCAACGTAGAAATGACTGAACTGCTGAATTGCTGCAAGAGACGTGACACTGTACAAAATCCACCACTTAAGATAATGAATATTGCAATTCGTCCTCTTAACAAGGGCAGTTCTAATCCAAACAATGTTTGGATTTCTCGTAAGCACACGTCAGCTGGACTGGGTGATGTCCAGCACCTGTATACCTAAAACCTTTGGTCAAAACAACCTTGATATTGGCAGTTGGGAAACAGAGGCAGAGTGAGACAAAGTACGGCAAGCCACTTTAACATTATCCTTTTTTTCCCTTCCTTTGACTTCTATGAATTCTGTAGATCAGATATCACTTATTCACTAATGAAAAGTATGTATTACTTAGTTGTTACTGCCACCTATTCCATGTTTACTAAGTATTAATTAGTTATTATTGTTTATTATTTAGTTAATAGTAACTAACTAAGAATGGGAGACTACATCAAATATATTATTTGCATTCCTATTTGCTCATATAGCACAAGAAAAACTCCACGATAGTGTTTTCACGACTTACAAAAAGAAGAAAAATAGAGCGAGACTGACAACAGCAGTCAGAAGAAAGAACAATGCCAAATTACCGTCACTCCCATGGCTGTATCAGGTTAAGTAGTTTTTGTAATTTGATGCAAAGGTATATATATATATATATATATATATATATATATATATATATATATATATATATATTTATATATTAAAATGTATGGTATTGTAAATGTACATATTTTTTTAAATGAAAATATTTAAAACCTTGCAGGATTTATGATACTGATGACCGTTGAAACATGTCTGTGAAAAGGGACCATTGTTACTAGAAACATTTTAAACCTATCCCGTTTAAGATTTATCTGAACTATGCAGTATAGCAATTTTGATGAGTCATTAGAGATGACAAATAAAAGGTGATTACAGTTGATATAAGAAGTGATATAAGAATACAGTTATAAGAAGTACTAGTACAGGGGTGTCAAACTCAATTCCTGGAGGGCTGGAGCCTTGCAGAGTTTAGATTCAATCCTAATTAAACACACCTGATCCAACTAATCAAGTCCTGCAGGCTTATTTGAAAACTACATGGTATATGTGTGTAGGGCTCTGGCCCTCCAGGAATTGAGTTTGACACCCCTGTACTAGTAAGAATGATATATGGATAATACAGACTAGTTAAACTGAAACTGCACTAGTACCTAATAAATAGTTAAGAATCTATTAAAGTAAAGTTGGAATGTCCCTGCTAGTCCCCCTTGTCAGCAGTGAATGATTATTAGTGAAATTGAAAAAATTAATAGCTGAATAGTTATTGGTGAAATTAAAAAAAGAAACGAACCCCTATTGGATTACTTACAAGTAATTAAAAATAAATAGCTACTAGCAATAAAAATAGACACGGGCAGTTTTAAGGCATATAAGTATTAAAATGGCTTGCCATAGAGAGAGAGAGAGAGAGATGGGGGGAGAGAGAGAGAGAGAGGCACTTGAAGACAGTCAGTTGTGGATCAGTAATAAGGACACACGAACACACACAGACGGAATGGGTCGCGTTTGGTTTCTACGCACAGTTCTACTTTTATTCGCCTTACCTGGAGGTAAGAACATACAACATTCCAATTGTTCTGATAAAATAAAAATGGGACTTTAATATTTTCTTCCAAATATGATGTATTCTTTCCCAATTATGTTGGCTACGCAATCCATATGTGTAGTGTAGTAAGTACTGTTAATTATGAGCAGATGATTAGGCTAAAATCCCGAGAATGATCCAATTGTTTTGACGACAGATGCAGATGATGACCGTTAAGAGTTACAGGACGTTTTTGTCCATCTGTACTCTCTATGTGCCTATTCCATAGTTGTGCGCTGTCAATTACATAATTGATTTATTTTATCTATCTATACACTTACTGAGCCTTATAGCTTGGTTCATTCGAGTTATTAGGGGTAGTTAACTCACACACCACGCTGTCATGTGTTGTGCACAATGTCAATAATTAATTAGCGTGTAATTAGAGTCGCTTCAAATAAATCCAAAGCTGAACCTAATAAAAGTCAGCATAATGACCACAAGCAGGCAGTGCCACTAACTGTTATTAACTTAACTAACTAGTCGGTTTGCTGTTACCTGGTCGAGATGATCTGATTGTACAGTAGCTGCAAGCAACAGATGCCATACGAGAAGAAGGAGGTTCACATTTTTATAGGTGAGAATGTTTGTGCTGTTTCAGGTTTACTAGTTCAGAATAATTATGCGATCAACCTCGTTTGAATCATTTTCATTCAAAATAATAAACATGGGAAACTGGAAATATTTTCAAAACTAAAAAACACAGCTGTGTGTGTCGCTCACAGTTTTTTATGTGCCTTCTACGCTCACCCCAATATCATGTGTGATTATGATTTCAGCATATTCTCTAACTTCTGACTATAGCGTTACAACTCAACCCCCTGTTTCAGTGGCCTCATTTTTCTCAGGTTGAAGCGTGACAACCCAACAAACCCTGGATTGTCATTACAAAGTGTCCTATAGGACACTTTGTAAACACAGTTAAGGAAATGTGTTTTATTACTCAGAGGAACACATCCCTGAAACAATCCTTAAAATGCTTTGAATGTTTCGAGAGCTGCTTTGATCAATTCTGCGCTTTTCATTCAGCTGGTGTTGCAGTCGCGCCTGTACAGTGTGTGTGTTGTAGTGTGTGTGTGTGTGTGTGTGTGTGTGTGTGTGTGTGTGTGGGGAACTGTCGGCTATCCTGAAAAATTGCCTGCCTTAGTCACTAATGCACCCCGTACAAACCCTATTTAATACTTGCTTCGTAACGTTTGATTCATCTGGACCATAGATCATGGTGAAGGAACGGATTAGTCATGGTGCGGTTAATGGGAGAAGGTAGCGTTTTTGTTGTTTAAAATATAAACACATCATAATGTGTAAGAATAAAGTAAATGAACACTTGTATTCAGTAAGAACACACTGTTTAAAAGTGACAGTAAATACGTTTGTAATATTACAAAAGATTTATATTTCAAATAAATGCTATATTTCCTGTTCATCAAAAAATGTATCACAAAAACATTATGCAGCAAAAATGTTTTCAATATTGAAAACAATAAGAAATGTTTCTTTTGGGCCAAATCAGCATATTAGAATGATTTCTGAAGGATCATGTGACACTGAAGACTGGCTGTTGCAATTTCGGCTCTTTATAATATATTAAAATAAAAAAAAATAGTTATTTTAAACTGTAATAATATTTCACAATATTACTGTGTTACTATATGCAGCCTATAGGTGAGCACATGAAACTTCTTTCAAAAACATTAAACATGTTACTGACCCCAGACTTTAGAACGCCATGCAAAAAATAAAAACAAATCCATATATCCATATTTTTACTTTATGGTAAATAAAATTCATACTTTTTCCCTTTTGATTTTGGGATGAAATGCGAAGTTTTTTGGACTTTTTAAATGTATGTATGTATGTATTTATTTATTGTGGGACTTGTTTACATACTATGGGAGGGTTTTTTTATTCTGTTTGCCATCGTTAAAATGTTCAGAGCAGAGTATTGTTTTGATAACATCAGCTGTGGCGGGTTTCAAGCTTTTAAAGAGTTATCGCATTCACCATGTCTACCGTAAAGACCTCCTCACCTTCCTAAGGGTTGTTGACTGTCAACAAAGCAATGTATTAACTGATCGCCAGATGCTGCCGTCGATTAGCCCTGACTTTGAATGCACAGTGAACTGATTTGTGTGTGTTTGTATTCCAGGATGGTTTAAACCTGTTATCACTCCCAATGCCACCCATCTGGTGATACCTAAAGGTGGACAACTGGAACTCAGTTGTCATGATGATGCAGAGATGAGCAAGGTGCGATGGATGCGGGAAAAAAGCCGGAAAATCGATGGAGGGCTAAAAGAAGATGGAGTCAGTGTCATCCTCCTCTCCTCCACACAGGTCCAGCATATGGGCCGTTACACCTGTGAAAACACACAAACGGAAGAGAAGAGCTCCATCTACATCTATGTGAAAGGTGGGTTTCAATGTGCATGTTTGCACAGTTCCCTTTGATTCTGAGGGGTTTGTTTGTCCGTTGGCCTCAGTTCCCACACTTCACTCCTGAAGGAGTGTTAAAACGTGAATAGGTTTTTTGTTAAAGCACAAATGCATGTCCTTAAGCTGTGTACTCAAACCACACCTTAGTGTGGATCTGGTTTAATTTCTTTTACTTGTATTATTGTAAACTGCCATTGAATGATACAGGTATTTGAACAGTCGATTGTGTGATAAACCTGTTGCACACACTCATTTACTTACTATTTCCTCATACACAAATCCTTACAGCGTTTAATGTCTTGCACTCACATTTTTTTTGCCTTTCATTCCTTATTGTCCTTTGATTTGTATGTCTTTGTTCACCTTTCTCATCTCTCTCCATGTTTTCTACCAAAAATGTCTCCCCTCTCGCTTTTGCTGGCAGATTCAGAAAACCCTTTTGTGCGCTCCATGGTGGATGGCCTTTTGGTGAGGGAAGGAGAGGATGGCACTCTTCCTTGTTTAGTAACAGATCCTGCTGTCAATCACCTGTCCCTTCTGCCCTGTACTGGCTCTGCTCTACCAGCTGGCCTCATCTACATCGCACACCCTCAGAGAGGGATCACCATCAGAAACGTCTCCAAAGCTTTTGAGGGCTGCTACGTTTGTGCAGGAGAGATGGATGAAAAACCTGTGAAATCAAGCCAGTATAACTTGGGGGTGCGGCTAGGTGTGTATGTGTGTTAGAACAATTCTTAAAGGGATAGTTCACCAAAAAATGAAATCTCTGTCATCATTCACTCACCTTCAAGTTGTTCCAAATCTGAATGAGTTTCTTTATTCTGCTGAACACAAAAGAAGATATTTTGAAGAAGATGGGTAACCGAACAGCTGCTGGTACCCACTGATTTCCATAGTAGGGAAAAATAGTATTTAAAAAATAGTATTTAAGTAAATGGGTGACAGCAATTGTTTGGTTACCCACATTAATATTTGCTGAGTAATATATTACTCAGCAGAGATGCATTAAATTGATTAAAAAGTGAGAGTAAAAACTTTATACTTTCTATTCATCAAAGAATCCTTAAAAATTATCACAGTTTCCGCAAAAATATTTTCAACATTGATAATAAAAATAACCATTATTAATAATTAATAATAATTAAGCACCAAGTCAGCATATTAGAATGATTTCTGAAGGATCATGTGACACTGAAGACTGGAGTAATGATGCTGGAAATTCAGCTTTGCATAACAGGAATAAATTATATTTTTAAATATATGAAAATAGAAAGCAGTTATTTAAATTGTAATAATATTTGTGAATATTTATGTATATATATATATATATATATATATAATTGCATGCTTTATTGTATGTTTGCTGTTTGTAATACAGTTCCAGAGACAGTGCCAGTGATCAGCCTATCCAGAATCGAAAATGTGATTCTGATCCAGGGTCAGGAGTTTGTGCTCAAATGTAGCACCATCAACATCAACCATGATATCAGCCTGAGCTGGAGTATCCCATCTGAAGCGGTTAGATCCACAAATCTGTTGCATAATCTTAGATTACTTCCTGTAAGCACACTACCTAACCTAGACTGTTATTGTCAATCCTGATTTAGATAGCAAATCACAGCCAAAAATCAAACATCCTGCCTGGTTCTCGAGAATATAAGCTCTCAACAGGACTGTCGATCGAATCTGTGAAGATGATTGACTCAGGAGTCTTTCGCTGTGATGCGAGGAATGAGAAGGGTGTCTCCATGGCAACTGTCAATCTGGAGGTTTACGGTAAGAAATGAAGCTGTATCAAACCGTCATTTTCTATATTATTGACTTTAACCAGAGAGCAAGAAGAGCAAGATGGGACTCTTATAGGAAAATGAATAGGATAAAGAACAACACTCAATATGATGATTGTTGAAATGGAAGTCCCACCTTAGATGCACGGATTTTACTTTCACCTTACATTGTTACATCTGTGTGTGTGTGTGTGTGTGTGTGTGGCAGAGCATGGTTTCATGAACCTCACGGAGGGAGAGGAAAGTGTGATGGAGGTGAGAGAGGGAGAAAGTCTGACCCTCAGCGTGGAGATGACGTCATACCCCAGACCCACAGAAGTCTACTGGACCTATAACAACCAACAGCTCAAAAACACATCTGAACACGTCATCACACTACACAACCAGCAGTACAGGTACACACACCTGCACACACACACACACACACACACACACACATAGACACAGTTGAAACTATTGTATCTCCACCATCGTTTTTAAAAGCTGTTATATTAAAATACAAAATCAGTATATAAGCAGCTGACATGACATGTATTTTTACTTTTCTTCACAGAAAACATATAGAAACATATGTTTTGATAATTTGGCTAGACAGCAGATATTGGCCATTAATATAAAATTATGGGTTACACTTTACTTGAAGGGGTGTGCATAAGACTGACATGACACATTCATAATCATGACATGACACATACATAATCATGACATGACACATGTCATGAATATGAAGTTTTTTTATGCATGTTTATGACAACTGTCATTAAGTGTCATTCGCTCAGTTATGTCATTTTTAATGCAAAGATGGCATTGTTTGAGATGTCTTTGTTATGGGCTATGATTAGGGGTAAGGTAAGGGGCAGGGTTAGGTTAGGGTTAGGTCAAATAATGTCATATTTGCATTAAAAATGAGATAACTGAGCGAATGACACTTAATGACAGTTGTCATAAACATGCATAAAACCTCCTTCATATTCATGACATGTGTCATGTCATGATTATGAAGGTGTCATGTCAGTCTTATGCACACCCCTTCAAGTAAAGTGTTACCAAATTATGTGTTCAGTATCATTTTTAGCAGTTTCAAGTAAAAATGTGAAATTGTCCTGCTATTTGACAGTCCTCATCATGAACTGTGAAATGGTTAATACATAAATGTATCAAAAGAAAACTGAAATTCTGTTTTTTATTTTGATTAATAATTTCTTTTCTATATTATTGACATTATCTAATTGTTTTTCTGTCAATATGGGGTGCTGCGTGTACATTAATGAGGAAAAAAAATTAACTTAAATTATTTTAGCAAATGGCTGCAATATTACAAAGATTGAAAAATTTAAAGGGGTCTGAATACTTTCCGTACCCACTGTATATGATTGGTCATACATTTACATATTAATATATTCATATAATTATATTGTGGTTTATTATTAAAATTATTTTTAGCAGTTTCAAGTAAAGTGTAGAAATTGTCCTGCTAACTGACAGGCCTCATCATTATAAGCTGTGAAATGACTATAAAATGTATCAAATGAACAATGAAATTGTATGTTTTTTTTTTTTAACTGAAAATTACGTTTGAATTAAACATTATTGGTATAATTTTATTGGCATTATCTAAAAGACTAAATTTACATTAGTCCTGTGAAGTGACTCAAAAAATATACGTATATATAAAAAAATGGACAAACTCTTGGAGATCTTTTGTTGCAACTGCAAATGTTGCAAAAAATATCTAAATATATATATATAAAAAAACCTGCAAAAAATCTGACTTTTACCATAAAACCACAATGTTAAAAACTATTGTGTCCAATAATACATGTCCATTAGGTGTTTTTCATTAGGTGCCCATTAGGTGTTTTCTGCAGGAAGCTAACTCAGACATTGAGTATTGTTTGTTTGAATGTTGCAGGTACATCAGTGATCTACGGCTGGTTCGAGTTCATGGATCAGAGGGCGGGATTTACACTTTCTCAGCCTATCACATGTATGCATCTGCCAATCGGTCATTCACCGTCCATGTTATATGTGAGTTCAGAGGACTGATGGGATTTAACTTAGCATAAATTGTTTATTTTAATACAGTCTGTATATAAATACAGTAAATCTCTCATTTAGGTAAACCAGTGATAGTTTCCCAGGAGGGGCCTGTTGATGGACAGGTGCGGTGTGTTGCTTCAGGATATCCTGTCCCAAAAATATCTTGGTATTACTGCGAGCCACCACATGCACGGTATGACTCACAGACTTCTATAAGCCACTCACACTCAACAACTGTAGTGTGCATCTCTAACGTATGTTATGCAAGTACCAGAGTAAACAAACTATTGCATAGTCATGATCTCATGAGACTGCAAAAAGCCACAAAACCTAACATTTGGAATAGAAAAGTGTTTCTTACATAATCAAATATGGTAAAAAAATATTTGTCATATTCTTTTGGCTCTAAATAGCATTTATAACCTCTGACAGGTGCTCCCACCTGTTAAATGCGACGCAGGCAGATGAGGAGTTCACCTTGGTAACAGTGTCAGGGGCAGAATTTGGACGAAACGAGGTGGAAAGTCGACTTAATGTCACCAAAGGAAAATTTCACACTCTTGAGTGTGTGGCAACAACGCAGGGAGAGCAGGCCTACACTCTCTTTTCCATCAGCGGTGAGACTCCCTCAAACACACATTTACCTTGCTATCTAAATGAGGATATTAGACCCTAGATTTTTATTGTTTTATAAAGCTAATCATTAATATAGCAGTAAACACTAATAATCAGGGTCCAGAAAGATAACACATGTTAATACAATACAGTTGTTACAGCATAGTAGCACAGCAGTTCAGCCTCAGGCCCAGAAAGAAGACGTTTTACCCAAGACTTTACCCAAACCCTAACGCTGCTTTCAGCTCCTTTGGGAAACTGCTGTTTACAAGTTCAGAAGTCATAATTACAATGTGATGTGCTTTCAAGTGATTTTAGTAGGACAAAATGGATGCAATTTCATGTTTATTTTCCTTTTTTTCACTTACTGATAAGACAGGAAGCTTTTTTTCGCACTAATGCAACAAAATGAAAAGCAGAGTATGTGCATTAGGTTTGAAATGGATGCTTTATTTTGATGCATAGAATGATTGGAAATGTAGTTTTGTCACAGAATCATTTGACCCTCAAAGAAAGAATCATTTTATTCAAATTTTTCTAATTAGCATATTTTTTCTAATAATTTATTAGTAATTTTATTCAGCAAAGGATACAATATATTGGACAAATTATAGTAAAGACAGTTATAGGGTATGCAAAATTTCAGTTTATACTAAATGCTTTTCTTTTTAACTTTATATTTTCTATTGTATCACCACTTACACAAAAATATGAAGAAGAACTGTTTTCAACATTGATAATAATCCGAAATGTTTCTTGAGCAGCAAATCAGCATATTAGAATGATTTCTGAAGGGTCATGCGACACTGAAGACTGGAGCAATGATGCTGAAAATTCAGCTTTGCATAACAAAAATAAATTACATTTCAAAATATGTTAAAATAGAAAAGTTCAATTGTAATAATATTATTACGTATATTATAATAATAGTATTATTATTGTTTTTACTGTATTTAGGCAGATCAATTCAGGCTTGGTGAACATAAGAGAAAAAACACAAACAATGTAAAATAAATTGTACAGTCAACATTTACAATTAGTTTAGCTTATTAGCTTTTAACTAATTATTAGCTAATTTCTCCAGACATACCAAAACAAGGTGGACCATTCTTACAGTGTTATTGAGAGCAGTAGATAGACACACACACACACACACACACACACACACACACACAGCTGTAACAGATAATCCCTGAATGTTCTCAGACACACACTGAGCTTGTTGACAGATACGAGGGATAATAGTATTATTATTGTTTTTACTGTATTTAGGCAGATCAATTCAGGCTTGGTGAACATAAGAGAAAAAACACAAACAATGTAAAATAAATTGTACAGTCAACATTTACAATTAGTTTAGCTTATTAGCTTTTAACTAATTATTAGCTAATTTCTCCAGACATACCAAAACAAGGTGGACCATTCTTACAGTGTTATTGAGAGCAGTAGATAGACACACACACACACACACACACACACAGCTGTAACAGATAATCCCTGAATGTTCTCAGACACACACTGAGCTTGTTGACAGATACGAGGGATTATTATTTTGTGCAGCATGTGCACATTAGGTATTGAGACTGATGCTAAGCTCTTAAAATCCTCTGAACAACAGCTTTAAAACACTCACATACAACTCTAGCCTTATTAATATGGCACAGTGAATTAAGAAGTATTACTCTCTAGCTGTTTTAAACACAGATGTGGTGTTTATATATGTATATTGATTGATGTTTGGACATGTGTTTCTTTCCCCAGAGAGAACAGTGCCCCATAAACTCTTCACACCTCTGTTGTCTGGTGTTGTGTCCACTGCTGTTCTGCTCAGCTTCTTTTTGGTGGTTTTGCTCTACAAATACATACAGGTACTAAGTCATAACACTCCTACTAAACACTATGAAGTAACACAACATCCAGTTCTGGTTTTATTTATTTCACTTGTATTGTTCTGCCATAGAAACCCAAATATGAGATCCATTGGAAGGTGATCGACAGTTTTGATGGCAACAATTATACCTACATAGACCCAACGCAGCTGCCTTATGACCCCAAATGGGAGTTTCCACGGGAGAGACTGCGCTTTGGTAAAAGCATACGCACAAAAATTTAAGCGTCATTATTTAATCAGAGTAAAAGCAGCTAAAGTGCTTGTTTCATAATTCGGTAACACTTTACTTGAAGGGGTGTGCATAAGACTGACATGACACCTTCATAATCATGACATGACACATGTCATGAATATGAAGGAGATTTTATGCATGTTTATGACAACTGTCATTAAGTGTCATTCGCTCAGTTATGTCATTTTTAATGCAAAGATGACATTATTTGACCTAACCCATACCCCTACCCTTACCCCTAACCATAGCCCATCACAAAGACATCTCAAACAATGTCATCTTTGCATTAAAAATGACATAACTGAGCGAATGACACTTAATGACAGTTGTCATAAACATGCATAAAAAACCCTTCATATTCATGACATGTGTCATGTCATGATTATGAAGGTGTCATGTTAGTCTTATGCACACCCCTTCAAGTAAAGTGTAACCCATAATTCCACAACTTTTACAGTACTACAGTTAATACATATATTGTACATAAACCACTGTTCAAAAGTTTAGGGTCAGTAAGAATTTATTTAAAGAAATTCATATTTTTATTCAGCGAGGATGCATTAAAAAACCAAAAGTGTCAGTAAAGACATTTCTTATGTTACAAAAGATTTGCTTCAAATAAATGCTGTTCTTTTAAACTTTCTATTCAACAAAGAATCCAAATGTATTTGGTGTCCTTAAAAATATTAAGCAACACAACTGTTTTCAGCATTGATAATAATAATAATAAACGTGTCTTGAGCAAATCAGCATGTTGCTGAAAATTCAGTTTTGCCATCAGAAATTAATAGCATATATATTATATATATTATAATATATTAAAATAGAAAACAGTTGTTTTAAATTGTAACAAAATTTCACAATAGTACTGTTTTTACTGTATTTCTGATCAAGTATAAGAGACTAAAAAAATCTTACCGACCCCTAACCATTGAATGATAATGTATGTACTACGATTAAAAATCCTATAATACTATATAACAGTACTATAATCATACTATATAATATATAGTGTAATATATAAATGTTTGTTGTTTATCATGATGAAGGTAAAATCCTCGGCTCTGGAGCATTTGGTAAAGTGGTGGCAGCTACAGCATATGGACTTTGCTCAGCTGACACAGTGACCACTGTTGCTGTAAAAATGCTAAAACGTGAGTATTCATGTTTATAACGACTCCAATCACTGGTTGTCAGAAAATAAAACTTGGGTTTAATGTTGTTTTCCTACAGTATGTTTTTAATCTAATGTGTTTATGTATATTTATCTCTCGATGTGTGTATGTGTGTGTATCTGTGGAATTTTCCTAAAGCGAGTGCTCACTCCACCGAGAAAGAGGCTCTAATGTCGGAGTTAAAAGTTCTGAGCTTCATTGGCAACCATATAAACATTGTCAACTTGCTTGGTGCCTGTACAGTAGGAGGTACGTGATTAATACTGAATCAAGACTGGTGACAGATTAAAGCTATTTATGAGTTTATAATAAGATATGTTTTATGCGCCTTTTCCAACAAGTCATTCCAATCGCATATTATTTTATTTCTTCTGGTTGAAACACAACAGATGTTAGGTAAATGAGCTGCTATTTTCCAAACAAGAAAAGTGGAAGGGGATTTATACTGCACCACAAAAATAGAATAAAAGTAGTTATGGTCTGTTTTTCACACTAAGCTTTTGTATAGCATTATATATAACCTATTTTATAGGCTTCAGAAGACTTTGATTATAACTTATAAGTCATATTGACCATTTTTTGGTGCCTTTTGTCATAGTAGGAGCTTCAGAGAATAAATAATCATCCTTTGTAGTTCTTTCATGACTACATGACTTATCTCGGAGGGATAACAATGTTAATGTATTTAGTCTTGGCGGAATAGATCTGCTACTGCCAAAACATCCACAACATGCTGCTGTGAGCATGTAAGAAATATTGCTGCTGCAAATATAACATAAATGAAATAACCCCCATATAGCATACATGAATCCCCTCGTAGCAGATCTATACAGGTGGAGCTGGGGAATGTGGAGGGTTTCTGAAGCAAGCTGTAACTGCTACGGCAAGCACTAGTCATATATTTGAATGTTGAGCAGTGAGCTCATTGGCTACTGATACAGGAGAGAACCAATCAGCTGTGCCATGTGATAATGATGTCATTAGGTCAGATTGAGTTAGACCTATCGGACTGCACCATCTAGAGTTTCATGCCAGAACTCTGTATTTGTATGAAAAAGAGCAGCTCAGAAATTCTGCCTAAACAGTCTCCTTGAGGATTAGTAAAGTGAAATTTTCCAACAGGCCCCACTCTGGTGATCACAGAATACTGTTGCTATGGCGACCTGTTGAACTTCCTCAGAAGAAAGCGGGATGCGTTTTTCAGTTCCAAAACAGGTGATGGATATTACAAAAATCTGCTCAGCCAAACACAGCCTTCGAGGTAAGATATGTGTGAGAAATGTGGTGAAGATGTATAGATGTCATTTGTTAGGTTTTCGTAATGTAATACACTACCTATTATATGCATGCGTGCACACAGAGAGGGCACTGATAATGGATACATGCCTATGAGGTCGTATCAGAAGAGATCGAATCAGACAGGTAGGCTCATCTCGAAAGAATAAAAGCAAACTACACTCTTAAAAATAAAGGTGCTTCACGATGCCATAGAAGAACCTTTTTGTCTAAATGGTTCCATAAAGAACCTTTAACATCTGAAGAACCTTTCTGTTTCACAAAAGGTTCTTTGGGGCGAAAAAGGGTTCTTCAGATTATAAAAAGGTAAGAAAGAGATGGTTCTTTAAAGAACCTTTGACTGAATGGTTCTTTGTGGAACCAAAAATGGTTCTTCTATGGCATCGCTTGAAGAACCTTTTGAAGCACCTTTATTTTTAAGAGTGTACAGCCACTTTTACCACCAACATCCATTATTTAATGCTTTTCAATCTGTATCACTTCTCTCAGAATGGTGCGATGATAAAGATGATCTCTCTTTGGATACTGAGGATTTACTCAGCTTCTCATATCAAGTGGCTAAAGGCATGGACTTCCTCACATCCAAAAATGTAAGTGTGTATTAGATTTATTCACCTCTCAAGTTTCAGAGTGGGTTGAACAGACCTTGTAACGTTATCCTTTCTGGATTCTCATATAGAATCAGCACAGATTTTTTTTTGTCTCAGTAGTGAATATGTACTTCATAACATGTTTTTTGACTAATAAATTGCTGTTATCTGTGTTGCCATGTATTTTAAGTGTATCCACAGAGATCTGGCTGCCAGGAACGTACTACTTACTCAGGGTCGAGTAGCAAAGATATGTGATTTCGGTTTGGCACGCGACATCACTAGAGATTCCAGCTACGTCCTGAGGGGAAATGTGAGGAAGTGCTGTAAATCCTCTACCACACTCACACCTACTGCCAGGCTATATATTAATATCAAATATATTTAGCATTTTTAGATCTCATGTAGTAAATGAGCCGTTAAATTCAAGGAATAGTTCATTAAATGAAAATTCTGTCATAATTTACTCAACCTTACGTCATTTCAAATCTGCATGGCTTTCTGTCGTCTGTGGAACACAAAAGAAGATATTTTGAAGAATGATTCAACTCTATTTGTTCAAATAATAAGTCAGTGGAGTCAACACTGGACCTCATTGACTTTGAGAATATCTTCTGTGTTTAGTAAATGACCAAATGTTCATCTTTGAGTGAACTATCCCTTTAAGTGTACATGATATTGCTTAATAACATATTACTCAAAAAAAAAAAAGTTTAGTATCATGAATGTTATGTTTTCTCTCTAGGCTCGTTTACCAGTGAAATGGATGTCCCCAGAGAGCCTGTTTGCTTGCGTGTACACTTTTGAGAGCGATGTCTGGTCCTACGGTATCTTATTGTGGGAGATCTTCTCTCTGGGTCTGTATGAGCTGGTATCAGGCTTATTAAATATCACACCTACCCAGAATACAATGCCTGTAAGTGACTCATTATGAAGGTCTTATGAGGTGAAAATCCGCCTGCAGGTAACACGCCATATCCGGGTATTCAAGTTGGATCCACATTCTATAAGATGAT